CCGAGTCCCAAGGCAGGAGCGAGGCAGGGGTGAAGGGCAAGGGGTGTCCAATCGCTGCAGATTTCTAAGCTCCTTCGTGCCGGCTTTTTTTCACCTGTGAAATGGGAACCATAAGAGCGCTGGGCTTGGGGGACCTAATGGCAGGGGACCCAACGTCACCGTGGCCTCTGCTTTACGAGCACGGCCTGAACCACTGCCCCCAGTCCCCACAGACCTCAGGGTCCATTTCCACACACACACACACACACACACACACACACGATGCTTTTGATCACAAAGGACATTCAACCAAGATTAACAACTCAAATCGCCTGGGGGCCCCTCTGGTTCCAGATGCTTTTTGCTAATTCCAGACGGTTGTTTTGTTGGTGGTAAACTAGTGTCTTCGTGCTCTTGGCTTCAGTTTGCGAGAGCAGGATTTCTTTCCAGCCCGAGCGTCTCCTCCCCGGATCCAGGCCACAGAGGCGCAGGCTGTCAGATGCTCCGCAGCCCTCAGGCTGAACTGCAGGTGTGTGAAGCGCTGGGTACCAGGGCCTTGGGCCTGGCCACCTGCGGGGGAGCCCCAGGGCCCCGGTCCTCTGCCCGGCCAAAGAGCCTGCCGCCCGGAGACACTACAGGCTTAAAGAAGCTGCTACCCAAACCCTCATTTTCTGCATGTGATTTTTTTTTTTTTTTTCTGAGTTGAATGGGTTAGCTCGGGGCTTCTTAGATTTTACTGCACCCACTCAACCCCTCCGGAGGTTTTGTTAAAATGCGGATTTTGGTTTGGCAGTTCTGGGATGGGGCCCGGGATTCTGCATGTCAGATCGGAGCCTGCTGCTGGTCCCAGGACCCCACTTCGAGCAGCAAGGGAAGAGGGGCTGGCAGATGGCCTTCGTGTGGTTGGTGCCTGGCAGGGTGTCTGGGGGCTGTGGTGTGTGTGGATTCCAGGGAAGAGGCAGGGAGAAGGGTCAGCTTCGGGAACAGGGACGCGGGTGGGCAGTGACTGGCCCGCATTTGGCTCATCCTTCAGGCCCCGGGGTCCAGAGGAAGAAAGGCTGGCAGCTCCGTCCCCAGGGGCTCACGGGGCTCCGGGACCCCTGCCTTCCCTCTGGCATCCCAGACGAGGACTCTTCAGTTTTCCTCAGCCCTGACATTGGCCGACAGAGGCCTCCGGAGGCATCTTGCGTCACTGAGGCATCCAGGCCCCGGCCGGGGAGCACCAGCAAAGCTCAGGGCGTCCCAAGGACAGTACGGTCTGGCTCATGTTTAAAGATCTTTTTTTTTATATATATATTTGGAAACCACTCCAAACTTTACAAAAAAGTTGAAAATCAAAATCAAAATCCTACAAAGAACGCCCATTGGCCATTTACTTGCATTTACTATTACGTGTTCTGTCTCCGTCTTTGCGGTCTCTTACTCTCTCCCCCCACAGCCCACCCCCCAGGTGCACGCGTAGATTTTTCTGAGCCTTTTAAGACCACTTTACCCCTGTATGATTGTGTGCCTTTCCGAAGAGGGGAGGGGGGTGCCCTCCTGCACAGCCACGGAGCAGGCAGCAGCGTCAAGAAAGTTAACATGAGCCCCGTTCCTTTATCTGATCCTTGTACAGGATGAGAACTGTACAACTGGCCAAACCCCGTCCTTTACAGCATTTTCTCCAGCAGGGGCAGGATCCGGTCTAGGGCTGGGTTTTGTGTTTAATCGTCACCGCTCTTTACCATCCTTTAACCTGGAACATTTCTGCAATTTTCCTGTGTCTTTACGCCTTTGACGCTTTTGAAAAGTATACAGCCCCTCCTCCCCATCCCCTTCTTAAAAACGATAGAATGTTCCTGTTAAAGTCAGGCTGGACCTCGCGGCTGGCCCACGACGTGCTGACGTGCGTCCTCCCCAGGAACCCGCCAGCCTGCGCTGCTGGGATGCTGATGGCCTGGTCAAGATACTGCCTGATTCCTTCCCTGCATAATTACTATTCCTTGAGACCACGTGATTACCCAGCTGCTCAGCAAGTTCACCCATTGGTGGCCCGGACCCCGAGCAGTCTCCGCCACTGTGGTGACACAATGTTTCCCCCTGTACAACCTTCCGTAGCTGAGTCTGCACTTGGCATCCTGCTTTACGCAAGAGCCCTTCCTCCCCCACTCATTCATTCGTTCATTCATCTACTTATTATTGGTATGGACGTATGAATGCCAATTTTTCCCCAAGGGTTTATAATTCATTACTGTTCCTAATTATTTCAAACCCATCCCAGATTTGGCCAGCGGGAACCACTTTAATCTGCTCTTGTGTTCTTCTGACATGTCTACATCATTTTTTTTTTTTTTTTCTTAGAACATCCTTACTCTCTGGAACAACAAGCTATTTGAGGCTGACCTAGTCCCTTCCTTGCCCTGGCCCTGGAATTAACTGTTTCTGTAAGGAGCCTGTTCCTTTCCATGGGGAATGGTTTTAGGAACTCAGATCTAGGTACTCGGGGACACTGATTGCTATGGGACGTCTTTGTTTCTAGGGTTTTTCAGGAGACAGAGCTAAGAGATATCGGACATACAGACGTAGTTGTATGTGAACACACACACACACACACACACACCAGAGATAGATGCGTCTTGGAAATCACGTGCTCCCTCCACGTCTCTGTGCGGACCCAGAAGTTTGCCTGTCAGACCCGCGGCCAGGCAGGGCGTCGTGTCCAGCTGCCAGCATGCACGAGGTCCCTCACCTCTCAAACTGAAGTCGAGGTCCCGTGAGGAAGCCTGCCCACAGGTGGTTGAGCAGCTGGTGCCACAAAAGCCTGCCTGTAGCCACCCGACACGGGACACGTCCCCGGGCTGTCCTCGCTCGGGGGGACCCTCCGTCGGGCTGGCAGAGACTTTGTCGAATCCGCGGATGGTCCGACGCCCCCACCGCCCGGCCCCACGTCCCGTCCTTTCCTCCCGGACGTTGTTCTGCGAAGCCCTGGGCACAGCCAACTTCACCTGCACCGCGCACCTCCCGTCCCAGCCCTCGGATACCCTTCTCTCCTGATGAGATTCCTGGCTGCGCACACTTACTCACACGCTCGGTTCTACAACCCAAAGCAGCCCCACCATGGTGTTGCTCAGACAGCATACCAACAACACCTATTCAAAAGATGTGAGTTGACGTTACGTTCAGGACAGGTTCAGCCTCCATCCCTGCACCCCGGCGCTGCCCAGGACCGAGTGAGGAGTTCGTAGAGTTCGTTCTTGCTTTCTTTCCCT